CACACACACACACACACACACACACACGCGCGGCTCAGGTATGAAAAAGAAAAAGGAAAAAAAAAACAGAAAAAAAAAAACGAAATCGATCAATCAATCAATCAATCAATCCAGATCTTGATTGATTGATTGATTGATTGATTTTTTCCATTTCTCCTCTCTCTCTCTCTCTCTCTCTCTCTCTCTATCTATCTATCTATCTTTCTATCTATCTATCTATTTCACAAACACACACACACACACACACACACACACACACACACACACACACACCTTTTTTTTTTTTGCCTTCTTCTTCTTCTTCTTCTTCTTCTTCTACTTTATCCTCTTCTTCTTCTTCTTCTTCTTCTTCTTGTTTATAGATGGACTCGTGGGTTTTCTTTTGTTTTTTGTGTTAATGCAGGTGCAATGGAGATACTTGTGCGGCGCTAAAGGGTCGGAGCGCATCGGGGTTGCAGCAACTGTGTGACGGAGGTTCAACGGGGGTACAACGGGGTACAATGGGGGTTCAACAGGGTTCAACGGGGTTCAACGGGGGTCCAGCGGGGATCCAACGGGGGTCGAACTGGGGCCAAGGCCGTCTGTAGCACCGTTGGGGGGGGGGGGGGTGCTCACCGGCTGCCGTGGTGGGTCGACCGAGAGGAATGCCTTGAAGCCGAACATTCGCGGCTTTGAGGGGGGTCCGCGATGCCGCGACAACAGACGCGCATGAGCCTGCGCCTGAAAATGTACAGCAGGATTTAAGGCGCAAGGGGGCTGTGTACCGTAACATCGTCGACGGCCAGGCGGTCGACACCCGGGGGGTTAGGATGCTACGTTGCACCTTCTGCAATAAGGTGTGGCAGGGAACCCAGTATTACGCGACAAAACACTTCACCCAGCCATAATATTGCAAGAAGGTGTTCGACGAAGCGCTGTTTGACATTGCGCAGAAGTGCACACACCGCTTCGAGGCCGACCAGGCGGAGAGGGTCCGACACTACTCACAGGAGCGTGGGCTACATGTCCCGCGATCTGGAGCGATGGGTGGCGAGGCAGAGTGGAGTGGACAGGGCGTGGGCAGGGGAGAGGATACCCAGCGTTGGTCCGAGGGTGGTGCTGCGAGAGATGGGGCGGGCGCCGGTGTTGCAGAGGAGGGCGAGGCGGGAGTCGATCGCGAGGGTAGCATGGCAGAGAGTGAGCGGACGGCGACGGGAGAGGGGGCCGTGCCCGAGGTCGATCCGATCACTCGTCAGAGGACGCGGGGCTGGGATCCCGTGGGGAAGAGGCCCGCCCCGCTTGAGATACCTAGCACACCGAATTCCTCCAGGACTCCTGTTAGTGATACGCCTGGTTCTTCCAAAAGGAAGGACGGGGGTGCAGATCTTCCTGCCACGGAGGCCGGGAAGAGGCTGAGGCAGCAGAGGGTGACGGACACATATGGTGGCGAGTGGATCGTCGTCGGAGGAAGGCATTCCTTCGCTGGGCGTACTCCAGCGGGGTTGCCTTCAATGCCTTCTGCAACACGCTGTGGAGGGACCTCCAGCAGGTCGCACTTCAGCATCCTGGTGGAGGACCTCTGCCCGTGCTTCCCTCCCACAGCGAGATCGCGAGCATGCGAGCTGTGGAGATCCACCGCCAGGAGTTGGCGTAGGAATTGGAGGAGGTTAGGCAACCATTTTGGTCGAGCGGTGCCACCCTCCTCTCTGATGGGAGGAAGTCACGAGACGGGCGACCGATCGTGAACTTCCTCGCAGCGGGGTCTCGAGGGGTCGTCATGTACACGACGATCAACCGAGAGGGGGAGCTGGATGATTCCGTGCACGTTCTACAGAGATGGGTCACCATCTTCCATGATTTCAGGTTTGGTGGCCCACATGCACCGACTCTGCTTCTGTGTATGTGGGGGCTGCGAGGGCTTTGGCCGATGCAGCTATGCCCCCCGAGCTCCGGAGGATTACTTGGCTCCCGTGCTCCGTCCATGTCTGCAACAAGTTGTTGTCAGACATTTGCACGATCTACACCTCTTTTGTGGACACGATCACACGTGCCCAAGTTCTGGTGGTGTTTTTCAAAACCCACCAGGTCGCTCTTAGCTTCTTCGGGAGGCGCACAGGAGGAGCTTTGGGGCTCGCACTTTCATGTGAGGCGCGATTTGCGTCTGCGTACTCCATGTTGGAAAGGCTATTGGCTCTGCAGGATCGTTTGCAGGACATGATGAGAGGGGAGGACATGCGGGCTTGGGCTAGGATCCCGTGGTCGCGCGACGTCTGCGACATAGCGCGTTGGGTGCGCCGCCAGATCAGGTGGTCCCCTTGGTGGGAGAGGATGCGGGCCATCTTCCACGTCATGGAGCCCGTCATGGAGTTGTTGAGGCGGATGGATCGTGGCGACGAGTTCATGTCCCTCGTTATAGAGTGGACTCAGGATCTTGCACGCCTCGTGAGGGACGCTTGCGCACCTCTCGGCCACTCATTTTCTGACCGCGTCATGAGGCGTGTGCAGGCCCGTATTCACCACATGATGGAGCCTGCACACTGCGCGGCGTTCTTACTGAAACCCCGTCGACGGGATGTTCAATACTTCTCAGCTCAGCTCGACGAGTACCACACATGGCTTGTTCGACAAGCCAAGAGACATCTGTTGTCTCAAACCGGCTTCGACGTGGAGGGTGTTCCCTACCTTGAGGGGTCGGCAGTTCGAGGACTTCCACATGCAGCAGGGTAGGTATGGGAGTTGGGGCGGGGAAGAGGGCCGCGCTCGGGCGCGCACTTGCAGCGGGGACTGTGAGACGATGGAGTGTGCGTCCTGGTGGTCTCAGTACGGGGGAGTCGCGCCTGAGTTACAGTATTGCGCCCTTCGTTTGATGCATATGTGGTCCTGCGCCTCTCCAGCGGAGAGGAACTGGGCGGTCCACGAGGGCATCCACACGAAGAAGCGCAATCAGTTGGCCTTCGAGAAGGTCGTCCATCTTGTCGAGATCACCGCAAATGTGCGGTTGATGGAGTACAGACGTGCAGGTTGTGGGTATGTTCTCCCTTGGCAGCGAGACACGGGTATGCTCGACGCTCAGGCAAGCATAGAGCTGGACCCCGTGCGTTCGGGGATGAGGAGCTCGATGATGGCGGAGGAGATCGAGGAGCAGGCTGCCCTCATTTCGCGCGATCCCATCGGGTCCTCTGCGCCGCCCCCTGCAGAGTCTGTTTTCGATGCTCGTGCGGCTATCTTCCGGCCATACCCCAAGGATGATGCCTCTGGGGACGAGAGGGAGCGGGAACCTGCGGACGACCCCGCGCTTCCCATCCCGCGCGAGATTGACGAGTTGCACGAGGAGGGCGCCGACTCGCACGAGGGGGCAAAGCGGCCACACACCGCGCTTGGGGCGGGGGATTTCGGGGGAGTAGAGGCGAGATCACCCACTCCCGCGCGAGAGCAAACGCCTGCTCCTACCGGCACAGTGCGGGAACATACGACTGTTTCCGCGACCGCGCAACAGCAGACTCCTGCTCCTACGAGGACCTGCGAGCGGACGAGTACTCATGCGACGGAGTCCGGACCTTCGTCGCAGTTGCATCTTCCTCGTCATTCAGTAGCATCGTCCGCTGAGACTGCTTCCATAGGGCATGTTGAGCGCTCACCATCAGCGGTCAGGAAAGAGGACTTGGGATCCTCGTTGCGCATACGCGGCCATGGATCGTTGTTTAGCATAGCCCGTCAGCCCGTTTTGGAGGAGGGTGTTCATAGCGGGACAGCGGTGGTGAGGGAGAGACGGGCGGAGGAGCACGGAGCGAGCGGAGTTGATGACCTTGAGGGTATTCGAGGTATGGGGGACGAGTTAGCGGGAGCAGGGCGGACAGGGTTGTCGTCTACGCTGCATGATAGATTAGGGGGGGGTGATGGTGCGCAGGTTGAGACGGAGGCGGGAGTGGAGGTGGATGATGGTCCGCAGGTTGAGAGGGAGGCGGGAGTGGAGGTGGTCCAAGTGGATGATGGTGCGCAGGTTGAGAGGGAGGCAGGAGTGAAGGTGGAAGATCGTGCACAGGTTGAGAGGGAGGCGTGAGTGGAGGTGGTCTAGGTGGATGATGATGCGCAGGTTGAGAGGGAGACGGGAGTGGAGGTGGATGGTGGTGCGCAGGTAGAGAGGGAGGCGGGAGTGGAGGTGGATGGTGGTGCGCAGGTAGAGAGGGAGGCGGGAGTGGAGGTGGATGGTGGTGCGCCGGTTGAGAGGGAGGCGGGAGTGGAGGTGGATAATGGTGCGCAGGTTGAGAGGGAGGCGGGACTGGAGGTGGATGATCGTGCGGAGGTAGAGAGGGAGGCGGGAGTGCAGGTGGATGATCGTGCGCAGGTTGAGAGGGAGGTGGCAATGGAGGTGGATGATTGCGCGCATGTAGAGAGGGAGGTGGGAGTGCAGGTGGATGATCGTGCGCAGGTTGAGAGGGAGGTGGCAGTGGAGGTGGATGATCGTGCGCAGGCAGAGAGAAGGGAGGACGTTGTGACTACTCAGGTTGGGAGAGAGGAGGGCGTGGCAGTGCCTTCCGTTGCTGCGCAGGGTGAGAGACAGGAGGACGTGGTCAGGGCAGATGGTACTGCGCTGGTTGAGGGAGAGGCCATTCTTTTAGAGGGTGACGTCGCCCATGACGGAGGGGAGGGCAGCGACACCCTTGACCCGGCTATCGAGCGTTTCATCGCTGATGAGGTGGATCCCGCACTATCAGGTTTGACCCCGGGCACGATGAGGGCACTGGGGGCGTCGCCATCAGGAGAGAGCGGGGCGGTTGGCGATGAGATGCGGGATGTTGCTCAGATGTCTTTCAGGGATCCTCCCACCCCTCGTCAGAGTCGTCGCGCAGACATAGAGGATATAGCGCGTGCCTTAGCGGCCGCTGGTTACTCCGCAGAGGACATCGAGCAGGCATTCGCAGGAGCCTCCAGGATTCGTACACGGGACACTCTTTAGCAGGGGTACGAGGAGGCACGAGAGCACCCTCAGGAGGAGCATGACCATGCAGCCGCTGCAGAGATCCCGGGAGGTAGCTGTCTGTTGGTACACTTCGCGGGCATGCAGCTGACGACGACGACACACCCAGTTCGAGGCTCAGGTTCTGAGGAGGTGGCACCTGACGAGGTACCACCGGTCCTAGTGGTGGATTTAGGATCAGAGCCACCGCTTCAGACTTCCGTTAGTGGGCGGCGAGCTCCTAAGGATATATCTTGCCCATTTGATGCGGCAGAGCTCGCACCGGCTGTTGTGCATAATGTCACACGGGAGGAGGACACATACTCACGGAGACCTGGCATACCGCCTCCTCCTCCGAGATCACGTCACGGTGATTCACCCTCGACACCAGCGCGTGCACACCTCCACTCACCATCCGCGCCGGGCAGACCCAGGGTCCGTGACACCACGGGCGTACGGAGCCTCCCTTTTGGCACGACGCTATTCGGGAGGACAGAGATATCGACCTGGACTCGACTCGCCGAGTAACAGTGCACACTGCACGACTCCAGCCAGGTTTGGGTGGGGGTGGCACCGGGAGGGGTGCGGCTCGGGAGGTCATGGTGACAGTTTCTCAGCCTCGACATGTTCGTGGGGGTGTAGAGGCCAAGTCCACCTTGTTGCACGCTTTGGCAGCAGCAGCACGTGCTGTGTGTGACCAGACTTCGCCCAGGAGCCCAGCATATCGTGACTCTCGTCCGCGTCTCGTGCCTGCGGCGGGTGGTGCCGCATTGGAGGAGTCTTTAGGACCTGAGGGGTTGGGGATGCCGCGGGGTTCTCATCGTGATAAGACTGTCGAGGCTGTCACTCGGGCGAGTACTAGGCTTGTTCAGGTGGGGAGGGGGGATGAGCAGGTCATTGTAGAGAAGGACGATCCCGAGACGGAGCCGGCACGTGACGAGGACCCACCTGAGGATGACGAGTACAGAGAGGACGAAGAGAGTCGGGAGTGGGAGAGGGATGACGAGAAGGAGGAGGACGACGACGACGACGATGAGCCCTCCCCTCGACCACGACATGGTTCTGGTAGACGGCAGGAGTTTCGTGAGACGAGATCCCGCACGAGGAGTCGAGGACCATCCGCTGCGACTTGGGCGAGCCGACGAGGTGCGTCACGGACACGCGACTCGGATCGCGAGAGGCGGAGAGGCAGCGGTAAGGGGAAACGAGGTCGACGGTCTTCCAGCTTCATTCCCCTTCCATCTCGCGTATATGTCGTTCATCCATTTCTGTTTGTCGACCATTCTGTATATTGTTTAGGATGATGCACATACAGTTAGGTTTCAGGCACTTAGGACCAGTTCATGGACATTAGCATGCAGGTAGATTGAGGTAGTGACGTCGAGAGTTCATTTTGGTTTTACGTTTTTAGTTCATGTATGGCTTGTCGTTTTTCTGTGTTGGTCTTGGGTTTCTGTTCGAGGTGGGACTTCATTGCGACTCGTCGTGTTACGTAGGTGTTTGTTTCGGTTTTCTTTCTGGATATGTTAATTAGCGATGTAGGCTGCGGCCCTTGGCTATACGAGTCCATACGACTCGGTACGAGTGTGACGAATGCGATTTCGGCATGACTATTCAGTCTTTTGTATGAGATTTCATGACTGCTTTGTTTTCATTGTGCTTCCATTTTCTTTTGTGCGTTTACTCTTCTGTGCCTGTGTGTGTGTGTGTGTGTGCGTGTGTGTGTGTGTGTGTGTATGTGTGTGTGTGTGTGTGTGTGTGTGTATGTGTGTGTGTGGGTGG